AAGGGGCCGACTACGGGCGGCTAAGGGGCCGCGACGGGCGGCTAAGGGGCCGACGGGCGGCTAAGGGGCCGCGACGGGCGGCTAAGGGGCCGACGGGCGGCTAAGGGGCCGACGGGCGGCTAAGGGGCCGCGACGGGCAGCTAAGGGGCCGACGGGCGGCTAAGGGGCCGACGGGCGGCGAAGGGGCCGTGACTGGCGGCTAAGGGGCTGACGACGGCCGGCTAAGGGGCCGTGACGGACGGCGTAAGGGGCCGACGGGCGGCTAAGGGGCCGCAACGCGCGCTTCGGGCAGGGCAGGAGAAAATTTCGTGGTGGGCCCTAAAAAAAAATGTTCCCACTAAGGAACCTGCTCAGAATACCATGTTAGAATAAGGAACGGAATGAATGAACTAGGAAGCAGGTGGGTACAAGTAGGAAACCTAAAAGTGTTGTACCCTATAAGAACTACCCCACTATAGCCTAAACAGACTATAGCATATATAAGCTTGACAATAACCCCCCAGGCTAGTGAGCCTGTAACCCTTCCCTAGGATCAATCGGGGATCACCAATGGACCTCTGACACCCCCCCGCACTGGGATGCCCGAAGTGTACACACTGGGATTCGAACCCGAGACCTTCGCTCTAATACCATGTCAGAATCCCAACCACTAGACCATTGGGACAAAAGGGCTTGTTAAGTAGCGGGTCAGTGCACCCATAATCCCCCAGGACAACGAGCCTGTAACCCTTCCCTATGATCAATTGGGGATCACCAGTGGACCTCTGAGATGTCTCGGCAGCCTGTACCGACCCCTCCGAAATTGTCGGGCGGTACCTTGGACGCCGTTTAATCGTGGTTTGTCAGCAGCTGTCCCCGAAAACGAATTCCATGGTCGGGAGAAACCGCTCTCGATACTGCCGGCCAGCTTCCAACAACACCAGGCACGCAGTGTCGCACGAGATTTTTGCGAGGTGTACCTGCCTCGATTTCCCTCGCCGCCTGCGTCCCACTTCTGCAAAGTGTGATAAGGCCACTCCGCTTTTTGTTGCAGCCCGTAAGTGTCGGCGAGTCTGAAGTCCCGTCTGTCCACAAGCACTTCTGTCGAAAATATTCGATGACACGCCCGCCAATGCAGTCAATGCCGCTGCACTTCAGGTCGGGCTCGACGGCAGTTGACCTCGCATAAATCGGGCAGTTCGCGTGCCGTTCACCGGTGATAAAATGGGAGCTTAGGCTAAGAAGCCATAGCTAGGTTTTAGGGTATATGAAAGAGAAATAGGAGAAGAAGGGGTTTCACTAGCAGCAATGAGGATACATATAGCAAACCCTAGATGGGTTGTACTCGCTATAGAGCACCCCACTACAGGCTAGAGAATAACATTCTGACACACCCCCATAGCCAAAGTGGGGTGTAATCAGTACAATGAGCAAGCAGGTATAGAGCAGGAGTTCACAAAGGTAAGCAAAGCTAGAGCTAATCACAGAGGGCAAGTGAGGAGGAGGAGAGACTGTGGAGGGAGAGAAGATGGGAGGCAACGACTGAAGCTGCAGAGGCACGGGCACAGGAGCGGCTGACTCAGAGGCTACCGAAGCAAGGGCGACGGACTACTGGAGTGACTGGCTCCGCGGCTATAGACGAGCGGCAGGAGCAACGGACCCACTGGCGACTGGTGCAACAGGCTCACTGGCTACCGAAGCAAGGGCGACGGACTACAGGCGCTGCAGGCGACAAGACAGCTACCTTCACACAACCTCCTCCAACTGCCCCACTCCCCTCTCACACACCCCCTGTTCAAACCCTAGCTCCACTCCCACAGCACCCCCCTTAAACCCTAAACCCTAGGCTCCCACACACCCACCCCCCTCAGCGACAGCTGCAGCAGTGGGAGACAAGGGAGGAGGAGGAGCAAGGGGAGGAACACATAACCGCCACCCCCACACCCGCCACCCCCATGCTCGGCACCCCACACCCCCAGCACCACGGAATGCACGGGGGGGGGGGGGGGAGGGGAACGGGATGGGCTGCAGGTGCGGGCTGCTCCAGGGGCGGCCGTTGCAGGTGCGGGCTGCTCCAGGGGCGGCTGCTGCAGTTGCGGGCTGCTCCAGGGGGGGGGGGGGGGGGGGGGGGGGGGGGGGTTGCTGCAGATGAAAGGTAGGAGGGAGGGGAGGGGAAGGGCGCGGCCACCAGGGCGCCCCGACGGGCGACGAGCTAGGGAGCTGCGCGGGCCCCCGAGAGCGCTTCGACGGGCGACGGGAGGGGACCGCGCGCGGGCCCCCAAAGCGCCGCGATGAGGCGACGGTTGGGGCCGGCGCGCGGCCCCCAAGGCGCCGCGACGAGGCGACGGGAGGGGCCGGCTCGCGGGTCCCCAAGGCGCCACGACGAGGCGACAGGAGGGGCCGGCTCGCGGGCCCCCAAAGCGCCGCGACGAGGCGACGGGAGAGGCCAGCGTGCGGGCCCCCAAAACGCCGCGACGAGGCGACGGTTGGGGCCGGCGCGCGGGCCCCCAAGGCGCCGCGACGAGGTGACGGGAGGGGCCGGCGCGCTGGCCCGCAGGGCACCGCACGAAGCAGGAACCTGCCGCGCGCCTCGGGACGCACGGCGGGCAGAAAACCGCCACGCGCCCGGAGCGCGTGGCGGGAAGAAAAATAGGAGGTCGCGCGCCACGGGGCGCGCGACACACAGTAGGGCAGCGGAAGCAGGTGGGCCCACAGGCCAGGAGCGTATCGCTCTGATAGCATGATAAAATAGGAGCTTAGGCTAAGAAGCCATAGCTAGGTTTTAGGGTATATGAAAGAGAAATAGGAGAAGAAGGGGTTTCACTAGCAGCAATGAGGATACATATAGCAAACCCTAGATGGGTTGTACTCGCTATAGAGCACCCCACTACAGGCTAGAGAATAACATTCTGACAACCGGTGCCACCGACATTTTCGGGCGCAAAACTCCATTTGCGCCTGGCGAGTTCCCCAACGACTTTTTCTCCACAGTTGCTCCGAAAATGCCGCCCATGCTGACGCAGGCCAGCTGTCGCCAGCTGCCAAGGATCTCCCGAAAATCTCGTGCACATGTTGACGTGTGCCACCGATGTCAACTTCTCGCGTAAGGACGATCCCGAAATCGTCGCGCAGCCGTTGACTCAGGTCCGCCGGCATCAACAGCCACACACAGTGACGACGTCGATGCTATTCATGCAGATGCCGACGCAGGTCCGCTGACGCCAGCTGCCATACGAATCAAGCTCCGAAATCGTCGGAAATCGCAGCGAAAATTACTTACTTTAATGTCGCGACAGCTACAGCTGTCCGTTGCCCGGGGGAAGGGAGGTCACGGTCGATCGCGACCGTTCGAGGCAAGGATCTGGCGGTGCCAAAGGAGTGCCCATAAAATTATGGCCGCGAGGAGCAACTAGCTTGTTCTCCCGTCTGGCCTACGCAACTCCTGGACCCCAAGACATCCTTCCTCGTCCCCCCCCCCCCCTTCGAGGGGTATCACACTCTAAAAAGCGGGGTAGGCTAGGAAAGTAGCTCTAATACCAGGTGTTATGATTGCAGAGTGCGCAGAATAACGAATAACGAGGATGGTTGAATACTGCATGCCCATACAATGAAAGTGACGAGACCTAAATAGGGGAAAATCTAGCTAGGCGGAGAGGTCGGGAATGGATGGCTCGGTGATGTTGCGATTGGGGCGGAGGCCGACTCGGGGGTGGTTCGGTGTGACGAAATAGGCCGAACAGGTTCGTCGCGTGACCCTCGGGATGGCCTCGCTAACGAGTGCCTCAGTAAGGATGTGTAAATCCTTACACATGATACTTTATTTCGCCATTTTCCATGGGATTCTATACTCTAGAAGTACCCTTCAATTCAGACAATATGAAAACTGTATTTATTTGTAACATTAGGCCTGCGCACCTGGTTCGTTCGGTTTCGCGATTAGGTTCGAAACTTCGAAACTCGGTGCGCTGGGGCGTTCCGCACCACGTCCTTATTTGCGGTGCTTCGCGCGACGGCTAGATGCGAATTGACCACCTGCTCCGAACCGAACTTCAGTTTGGGTATGGCAGAAGTTAAAAACCACGAATGGGGAGGAAATGACGAATCGCCCTGTTTACGAGTTTCCGATTCCTTTCGGTTGTGGTTTTGACACCGCCTCGCTTTTCCGCTCGCCTCCGATTCCTTGGGGCAGTTTTTTTCGACAATCCCAATTTCCTGTGACCAGGAACATTATGAAATATACCCGGCAAAAAATAAACCCCTCTCGGATGGCTAACAGTTGGGAGGGTCAACCTTAAACACCTTGCCTCATGGTGTTTAGGGTTGATGCCTCCCAAATGGCATGCCATCCGTGAGGTGTAATATATTTTTTTGTCCCGAGCTGCTTGTTATGACGCGACGGCATAATTTAGGATATCCCAATAAATAAAGCAGAATATTAGTCTCTGGACTCAAAAGGGGAAATAGCGTAATTATCTGACCGAAGGTATCGGACGCGAGCGCAAAACAAGGCGGTGTCAAAACCACTGCCAAAAGGAATTAGAAACCCGAAAACAGGGCGATCCGTCATTCCCTCACGAATGGGTGAACAGCTTGGCTCTTGGTGAATGTTCATCCAACAGCAACAGCAACCACTCACTCACCCAATGGGAAACTGAACTCGGGGAGGGACAACCCTAAACACCTGGCGAGTTCCGGTGTTTAGAGTTCATGCCTCCCCAAAATCCTTCCAGATTCCTAGTTTTTGTTTATGTTTCTGCCCGTTGCCCTGAACTACAGTCCACGCTCGCTAGCGCTACCGAGCCGAACTGCTCGGCTTGGTAGTACCACCGCTTCCGATAAACTCACTCATCAGTGATAGCATGATGGGAGTGGCTGGTACCGGTGATGGTTACAACCTTGGGCGAAGAGGTTCTGGTAAACTTCCTCGCGGTGCGAACTCCACGATGTCTCGCCCGCACGACCCCAGTGCAGCCCGGCAGAACCGCTACCTCCCACGCGGTCACGTTCGAATCCTCGGTCGGATGGTCGTACTCGCTATAGTACTCTCGTTCGTATACGTACTAGCGCTGCTGACGCGTCCCGCGTTCTTGTTCCGTCCCGCGGCGCCTGAGCGGCAGGCGACGGCGCTGCCGCAGAGCGGGTGCGAGACGGCGCGCAACTGCACGGGGACGCTGCTGGACCGACACGTGTACCAGCGCCACGACGCGGAATTTAGGTACGCGCTTCGTCTAAGAAGCTGCTTTGAAGCTTCGAGCTTGAGGAGTCCTTGTATTAACTTGACCACCCTTGCCGCGCCTCCCCTCCCGCGCCATCGAGAGTCGTGCCAGTGGTCTCTGGCCGCGGCGGCCGCAGACAAGGCGCGCGCGGCGCCCACCTCGTGCTGACGACCCCTCATCGACCCACGTGTACAGCCGCATTCGCCACGGCGCCCACCTGCGAATGCCGCGCATACTAGCGTGTCTCACGCGCCGCCTCCCTCACGCACCGCCTCCCCGCCCGCTGCTGCCGTCTCGTCGTTGTTGCTCCTCGCCTCCCAGCGCACCTCTCCCCCCTTCCTTCCCCCCCCCCCCCCCTCCCCCCTTCCTTCCTCCCCCCACTCCCCCATTCCTTCCCTCCCCACCCCCCCCCCCCCCTCCTCTCCCACCTCTGCCCCCCATCCCCCCCGCTCTCCCCCCTTCCCTCCTCGCCCACGCAGGTGGAAGGACACGGGGCAGCGGATGCGCGGGCGCGAGAGGGGCGGAGGACGGGGTACATTTTGGAGGTGAAGCTGCACCGCTGGCTCAACGCCTCCCCGTGCCCTACCCCCCTTTTCCCCCGTCCCCCGTTCCCTGTCCCCCCCTCCCCCCCCAACCATTCCCCTCTCCCCACAGATGGAAGGACACGGGGCAGCGGATGCGGGGGCGGGAGAAGGGGGGGAGGTGGACGGGGTACATCCTGGAGGTGACGCTGCACCGCTGGCTCAATAGGTCCGCCACCAACCGCCACGTCTGGTGGCACTTCATGACGCTCATGGTACCTGCGCTCTTCCCTCCCCCCTCCCATGCCCTCTTCCCTGCCCTCTCCCCTGCCCTCTCCCCTGCCCTCTCCCCTGCGCTCTCCCCTGCCCTCTCCCCTGCCCTCTCCCCTGCGCTCTCCCCTGCGCTCTCCCCTGCCCTCTCCCCTGACCTCTCTCCCCTGCCCTCTCCTCTGCTCTCTTCTCTGCCCTCTCCTCTGCCCTCTCAGCTGCCCTCTTCTCTGCCCTCGCTTCCGCTACTCTCCTGTGCCTCAACTGTGCCTCTCACGTGCCTCTCACGTGCCTCTCACGTGCCTCTCACGTGCCGCTCGTGTGCCTCTGTTCTGTCGTGTGCTGTGCTATGGGTCTGGCGACTTTGTTGCAACCTCGTGTCAACTCTGATGTCATGCAGTCTGCAGAGACACTTGATCATATGATAATGTGATGTATATGTGTTGATATGATACTATGTCTTGTGATATGATTCGTCATGATATGTTGCGTTTCGTGTACTATTATTTGAATCGATGACCTCTATTATTATGTGCCACATCCCTTTCCCCCCACGTGCCATGCCCGGCAGGCACCGGACCGCATGAGCAGGGCACACAAGGGAGTGGTGCTGTTCTTCGTGGGGGCGGGGTGGAGCGTGCAGAACAAGCTGCTGCTTCCCAAGAAGGATGAAGGCTTCTTCCGCCTCGCCGCCCCGTGCGCCCCGCTCCCTCGCCTCCTCGCATTCCTCTCTCCTTGCTCCCTTGCTGCTTGCTCACTTGCTGCTTCCTCCCTTGCTGCTTGCTCCCTTGCCTTTTTGCATTCTCACTCCTTGCTCCCTCGCTCCCTTGTTCCCTCGCCTCCTTGTATTCCCCTCTCATTGCTCCCTTGCTGCTTGATCCCTTGCTGCTTGATCCTTGCCTCCTCGCTCCCTTGCTCCGTTGCTCCCTCGCCTCCTTGCTCCCTTGACCCCGTAATTCCTTTCTTCCTTACTTCCTTGCCTGAATGCCTTCTTGCGTGCGTGCCTGCTTGCCTGCTCGCCTTATTGCCCACTTAGCGCCTCTTATCCCTCTGCTGCCTTCCCTCCGCCCAGGCTGGTGGTGGATTTGGGCATCCTGGGAGTCATGCTGGACCAGGTGGGAGTCATGCTGGACCAGGTGGGAGTCATGCTGGACCAGGTAGGTACCATAGTACCATACCCACGCCCATGCCATGCCCCATCAGGTGCCAAATGCATGCTCGTCGTGTTCTGCTGATTCTAGACATGAGTGCATAATGACCCGACCCATCTTGGTTCTATCTCCTGTTGGGTCAAGTTGCAAAATTAGGAGACCCGGGGGTAACAGGTCGGCTTATTGGTCTTGGGTCGGGTCGACTTGAGACCCGAAATTTAGGTTTCCTGTCGGGTATTAGGGAGGGACCCATCGGGGGTGGGTGGACCTGACCCGACTTAGCTGCCAGCCCGACTTTTTGTACTTGCTCCGATCTGCACGGCTGGCCACCAAAATTGCCGATCCGCACCACACGGATCGGCGGGCGAAACCGCCGATCAGCCCGATGCTCATGTCTAGCTAGCTGTTTCTACTGCTGTTCGTGCTTGTACATTCTCCTTCCTTGCATCTTCTCACTGAATTGAACGTTTGATTCCTCTCTAGCAAATTTGCTCGCAATAATGGCAAGTATCTGTTGTTAGGGCACCTTACTGATTTCTGTGCCCTTGTAATTGTAAACGTTACAAACACCTCCGGAGCTATCCTTTCAGGTTTTCATCACCTTCCCTCTCGTTCGCCCACCACAGGCACATCTCTCTCATTCAATTACACGTACCCACCCTTCTACCTCCGCTTTAACTCACTATGCAGTTCAATCCCTGCAGCCGCGCATAACCCCTTGGTCCTTTCTCCCCCGTCTCTCCCGCACCTCAGGTGCCCATAATGCCCGTTGACTTTTACATGGGGCCACCTGGTGGCAGGGGTGCGCGGGCTGATGTCTGAGGTGGCAGGGGTGCGCAGGCTGATGTCTGAGGTGGCAGGGGTGCGCAGGTTGATGTCTGAGGTGGCTCATAACTCATCTCCCGTGTCGCCCGTGTCTCTCCCCCCTGCACGTCTGCAGGTGCCCATGATGCCCATAGATTTCTACATGGGGCCACCCGGAGTGGGCAAGGCGGTGAAGTTGCAGGAGGAGCAGATCATGGCGCGTGAGTGAGTGGGGCAGATCATGGCGCGTGAGTGAGTGGGGCAGATCATGACGCGTGAGTGAGCGGGGCAGATCATGGCGCGTGAGTGAGTGGGGCATATCATGGCGCGTGAGTGAGTGGGGTAGATCATGGCGCGTGAGTGACTGGGGCAGATCATGGCGCGTGAGTGAGTGGGGCCATGCCATGCGTGCCGTGCCGTCATGGGTGGGGCGGGCGTGAGTGGAATGATGGGTGGGGTGGGGGTGAGTGGAGCGATGGGTGGGGCGGGCGTGAGTGGGGCGGGCGTGAGTGGGGAAACGTGATGGTGAGTGGGATGAAGGCGAACGACCTGACCCGCGGGGTTACGCACGTTTCAGCCTGCCCTTAAAACACTGTCCTTCCGTCCTTTCTTTCTCACTTTCTTCTATTCCCTCCTCCCACCTCTCCCCTCCCCCCCCCCACCCTCCTCCCCCCTTTCCCCCCCCTCCCTTTCCCTGGCAACGCCAGATGCGGCGGCCATGTTTCTGGAGAACCCGAGCGACTACGAGTGGTCAATGGAGTTCCCGATGGTGAAGTCGGTGGTGCGCGGCTTCGATGTCGCTCAACTCGCCACCCGCGCTCTGCTGCCCTCCGTGCCCGTGAGTGTGTGCCGTGCCCGTGAGTGTGTGCCGTACCCATGAGTGTGTGCCGTACCCGTGAGTGTGTGCCGTACCCGTGAGTGTGTGCCGTACCAGTGAGTGTGTGCCGTACCAGTGAGTGTGTGCCGTACCCGTGAGTGTGTGCCGTACCCGTGAGTGTGTGCCGTACCCGTGAGTGTGTGCCGTACCCGTGAGTGTGTGCTGTACCCGTGAGTGTGTGCCGTACCCGTGAGTGTGTGCCGTACCCGTGAGTGTGTGCCGTACCCGTGAGTGTGTGCCGTACCCGTGAGTGTGTGCCGTACCCGTGAGTGTGTGCCGTACCCGTGAGTGTGTGCCGTATCCGTGAGTGTGTGCCGTACCCGTGAGTGTGTGCCGTACCCGTGAGTGTGTGCCGTACCCGTGAGTGTGTGCTGTACCCGTGAGTGTGTGCCGTACCCGTGAGTGTGTGCCGTACCCGTGAGTGTGTGCCGTACCCGTGAGTGTGTGCCATACCCGTGAGTGTGTGCCGTACCCGTGAGTGTGTGCCGTACCCGTGAGTGTGTGCCGTACCCGTGAGTGTGTGCCGTATCCGTGAGTGTGTGCCGTACCCGTGAGTGTGTGCCGTACCCGTGAGTGTGTGCCGTACCCGTGAGTGTGTGCTGTACCCGTGAGTGTGTGCCGTACCCGTGAGTGTGTGCCGTACCCGTGAGTGTGTGCCGTACCCGTGAGTGTGTGCCGTACCCGTGAGTGTGTGCCGTACCCGTGAGTGTGTGCCGTACCCGTGAGTGTGTGCCGTACCCGTGAGTGTGTGCCGTACCCGTGAGTGTGTGCCGTACCCGTGAGTGTGTGCCGTACCCGTGAGTGTGTGCCGTACCCGTGGTGAGTGTGTGCCGTGCCGGTGGTGAGGCAAGTGCATGGTGGTGAGGTGAGTGTTAAAAATGATAATCGTTGCCTTGAGTAAGGGGCCAAAAGGCTCTACAGTACAATGAAGGAGCGAGAGAAGAGTGGGGAGAAAGCTTGCCCTATTGGCCACAAGGTATGCCAGTCACTCCCATATTAGTTCCGCCAGTCATCGCCTACCCCTGCCACTCCACCCCTCCCCTTGTTGAGCAACGCCATGCCCGTTCTAGGCATGAGCGAAATCCGAAAAACACGAACATGTTTGGTTCGGCCCGAACGTGCTCCTTTGATGGGGTGTTCAATTGTTCCACAGCAAAGTCGAACACTAGCTAGCATAGCATGTTCGCCCCGAACCTGAATGTTAGCATGTTCGCCCCGAACCTGAACATTAGCATGTTCGCCCCGAACCTGAGCATTAGCTTGTTCGCCCCGAACCTGTACATTAGCATGTTTGCCCCGAACCTGGACATTAGCATGTTTGCGGTGAACATGTTCTTGTTCGGTTCGACTTGTACTTTCATTATAGTCACACGGCATTCCCGTGTGAAAATCACGTGTGTTTACTGGCGAAGTGGGTATTGACATAGTCATTGATTGAGTGGCTATAAGGTCTAGTCGAGTAAAGCTCAAATTGTGGCGCCCTTTCCTCCCCCCACCCCCCAAGCCGGTCCAGCCAACTGCTTCATCCCTGCCGGTGCCAGATCCACCTTTACAGGCGTCTCAGAAGTCGAAATTTCCAGATTCGCACGACAAACCGGTACTCGTCAGAGTTGAATGAATTCAAGTGCACAGGACGGATAGAGGAGTTAACGGGCCGTTTTCCGCTGAAACCTGATCGCGTCCGTCCTAGTCGTTCCCCACACTGCCACGTGGAGGGCTCAGTGATGATCGGCGTTTGGGTGGACCCAAAAGGAAGCTTCCCCTCATGTCTTATCGCGCCTGCCCCAGCCCTTTTCCGCCCTTTTCCGTCCTTTTCGGCCCTGCCAGGTGGAGGGCTTTGTGATGATCGGTGTGAGCAAGAGGGCGCTTTGCTCCTGGCTGGCTGCCGCCCTTGACAAGGTGGAGTGCGGTGTGATGCGGTGTGGACAAGGTGGAGTGCGGTGTGATGCGTTGTGGGCAAGGTGGAGTGTGGTGTGATGCGGTGTGGACAAGGTGTAGTGCGGTGTGATGCGGTGTGGGCAAGGTGGAGTGTGGTGTGATGCGGTGTGGACAAGGTGGAGCGCGGCATGGTTTTTGTTTAAATGTGGTGTGTAGTGCATTGCCATGGGGTATAGTGTGGTGTGCTGCTGCAGTGACATGTGGCAGTAAATGCTCTCCATGGATTTCCATATACGAATTCATTGTCTTACGGTGTGGTGCCATGTGGCTGTCCCATATGTCTGCCTGTCCCCTACATGTGCACCCACGCCTGCATTCATCCATCCATGCATACATCGCTTCGCCTCCTGCATGCATGCAATGCACGTCCTCACCAGCAAGGTGCCAGGAGGGTGTCACGGGCTCGCCATATCTTTCCCGCACACCCATTCCTGCACGTTATCTGCTCAGCCCCGTCTCTTGTTGCTGTCTAGACAATCCGTCCTCACAATTTACCTCTTCCATCCTCCGGCATTGTTAGACTGGCAGCAGGACAACTGGCGGAGGTCCGTCTTTCATATCTAGCCTTACAGTCTCCCGTCTCCACCTCGTCATCCCCTCCCCTCTCCCTCCCCTCTCCCTCCCCCTCCCCCTCTCGTCCCCCTCCATCCGCCCACGGCAGAGGGTGGTGGGGATCATATCGTACGGCTACGATTTCTTCAACATGGTGGCAAGCTACCGCCACATGTTCCGCTCGCTGGGCGGCTGGCCCATTCTGCTGCGCTTCCATGTCGACTACAACATCACCCGCCAGATCCTCCAGCCACAGTTCAACAGGTTCATGGTAAGCCGCACTTCAACAGGTCCATGGCCTGGCCGCCCCACCATGCATTTTCAGTCAACTCAAAAGCTGCTGGCCGACCTGTACCTGCCTGCTCTCCTCCCTCCCCTCCCCCCCCCCCCCCTCTCTCTCCCGTCCCGCGCCCACAGGAGCTGGTGGACGCATACAGCTACCATGGCCGCCCCACCAAGCCTTTTCAGGCGGCTCAAAAGCTGCTGGCCGACCTGCACCTGCCCGCCTTCCCCCGTCTTCCTGCGCCTACAGGAGCTGGTGGACGCGTACAGCTACTGCTAGCCCCTCAAAAGATCCCGGCTGGGCTGGGTTGTACCTGCCGCCCCCTCCATCCCCCCTCCCTCCCTTCCGCCCCCTCCCTCCCTCCCGCCCCTCCATCGCCCCTCCCTCCCTCCGGTGCCTACAGGCGCGTGTGGACACGTACAGCTACCGCGAGCGCCTCACTACTCCCTCTGAGTCGCCCCAAAAGATGTCACCCGGCCTGTACCTAAACTCCCACCTAACCACCCCACCCAACTCGCCCTCCCTCCTGCGCCCACAGGAGCTGGTGGATGCGTACAGCTACCGCGAGCGCCTCACCATGCCCAAGCTCATTGTCTCTGCTGCCAACGACGAGTTCTTTGCCCTTGATGACAGGTGGGGTGCAGTGATGACAGGTGGGGTGCAGTGATGACAGGTGGGGTGCAGTGATGACAGGTGGGGTGTGGTGATGACAGGTGGGGTGCGGTGATGACAGGTGGGGGCTGCAATGACAGGTGGGCGCCGCGATGACAGGTGGGCGCCGCGATGACAGGTGGGCCTCCGCGATAGGTGGGTGAGAGGCAGGCATTGCCTCTGTGACAGGGGGATCTGCCAGCTATGTTGGTGTTACCTTTGAGGATTCTCAAACGTGACAGGCAGTTCGGCTGTGGACAACAGGTGGTCGGCAGGCGGCCCTGCCTTGGACCATAGGTGGGCGGGTACTTTGCCATAAGTGACAGGTGGATGACATGTAGGGGGAGGGGAGGCAGCAGAGGGTGGGAGTGGTGAAGCTGAGGGCAGTGGAGTGTGAGTGAGTGCGGTCTACGACGACCTGAGACCATACCTTGCTCATTGGGAATGCACCTCCTCCCACCTAATTCCCACCTCTCCGCCCCGCATCCCCCCCCCCTGTGCACCGCTGGCAGCTACAACTACTGGGAGGGGCTACCGGAGCCCAAGTTTCTGAAGCTGCTACCCAACATCGACCACATGGTGCTGCATTCCTCCCAGTGGGTGAGCCGCCTCTCGCTCTGCCTCACCTGCTCGCCTGCTTGCCTGCTCGCCTGCTTGCCTGCTCGCCTGCTCGCATGCTCGCCTGCTTGCCTGCTTGCCTGCTCGCCTGCTCGCCTGCTTGCCTGCTCGCCTGCTTGCCTGCTCGCCTGCTTGCCTGCTCGCCTGCTTGCCTGCTCGCCTGCTCGCCTGCTCGCCTGCTTGCCTGCTCGCCTGCTTGCCTGCTCGCCTGCTTGCCTGCTCGCCTGCTTGCCTGCTCGCCTGCTCGCCTGCTCGCCTGCTTGCCTGCTTGCCTGCTCGCCTGCTTGCCTGCTCGCCTGCTTGCCTGCTTGCTTGCTTACCTGCTCGCCTGCTTGCCTGCTCGCCTGCTTGCCTGCTCGCCTGCTCGCCTGCTTGCCTGCTCGCCTGCTTGCCTGCTCGCCTGCTTGCCTGCTCGCCTGCTCGCCTGCTGGCCTGCTTGCCTGCTCGCCTGCTCGCCTGCTCGCCTGCTTGCCTGCTCGCCTGCTTGCCTGCTCGCCTGCTTGCCTGCTCGCCTGCTTGCCTGCTCGCTTGCTTGCCTGCTTGCCTGCTCGCCTGCTCGCCTGCTTTCCTGCTCGCCTGCTTGCCTGCTCGCCTGCTTGCCTGCTTGCTTGCTTACCTGCTCGCTTGCTTGCCTGCTCGCCTGCTTGCCTGCTCGCCTGCTCGCCTGCTTGCCTGCTCGCCTGCTCGCCTGCTCGCCTGCTCGCCTGCTTGCCTGCTCGGCCTGCTTGCCTGCTCGCCTGCTTGCCTGCTCGCCTGCTTGCCTGCTTGCTTGCTTGCCTGCTCGCCTGCTTGCCTGCTCGCCTGCTTGCCTGCTCGCCTGCTTGCCTGCTCGCCTGCTCGCCTGCTTGCCTGCTTGCCTGCTCGCCTGCTTGCCTGCTTGCCTGCTCGCCTGCTCGCCTGCTTGCCTGCTCGCCTGCTTGCCTGCTCGCCTGCTTGCCTGCTTGCTTGCTTACCTGCTCGCCTGCTTGCCTGCTCGCCTGCTTGCCTGCTTGCCTGCTCGCCTGCTTGCCTGCTCGCCTGCTTGCCTGCTCGCCTGCTCGCCTGCTCGCCTGCTCGCCTGCTTGCCTGCTCGCCTGCTTGCCTGCTCGCCTGCTTGCCTGCTTGCTTGCTTACCTGCTCGCCTGCTTGCCTGCTCGCCTGCTTGCCTGCTTGCCTGCTCGCCTGCTCGCCTGCTTGCCTGCTCGCCTGCTTGCCTGCTCGCCTGCTTGCCTGCTCGCCTGCTTGCCTGCTTGCTTGCTTACCTGCTCGCCTGCTTGCCTGCTCGCCTGCTTGCCTGCTTGCCTGCTCGCCTGCTCGCCTGCTCGCCTGCTTGCCTGCTCGCCTGCTTGCCTGCTCGCCTGCTCGCCTGCTTGCCTGCTTGCCTGCTCGCCTGCTTGCCTGCTCGCCTGCTTGCCTGCTCGCCTGCTTGCCTGCTCGCCTGCTCGCCTGCTTGCCTGCTCGCCTGCTCGCCTGCTTGCCTGCTCGCCTGCTTGCCTGCTCGCCTGCTTGCCTGCTTGCTTGCTTACCTGCTCGCCTGCTTGCCTGCTCGCCTGCTTGCCTGCTTGCCTGCTCGCCTGCTCGCCTGCTCGCCTGCTTGCCTGCTCGCCTGCTTGCCTGCTCGCCTGCTCGCCTGCTCGCCTACTTGCCTGCTTGCCTGCTCGCCTGCTCGCCTGCTTGCCTGCTCGCCTGCTTGCCTGCTCGCCTGCTTGCCTGCTTGCTTGCTTACCTGCTCGCCTGCTTGCCTCCTCGCCTGCTTGCCTGCTCGCCTGCTCGCCTGCTTGCCTGCTCGCCTGCTTGCCTGCTCGCCTGCTTGCCTGGTCGCCTGCTCGCCTGCTCGCCTGCTTGCCTGCTCGCCTGCTCGCCTGCTTGCCTGCTCGCCTGCTTGCCTGCTCGCCTGCTCGCCTGCTCGCCTGCTTGCCTGCTTGCCTGCTCGCCTGCTTGCCTGCTCGCCTGCTTGCCTGCTTGCTTGCTTACCTGCTCGCCTGCTTGCCTGCTCGCCTGCTCGCCTGCTTGCCTGCTCGCCTGCTTGCCTGCTCGCCTGCTCGCCTGCTTGCCTGCTCGCCTGCTTGCCTGCTCGCCTGCTTGCCTGCTTGCTTGCTTACCTGCTCGCCTGCTTGCCTGCTTGCCTGCTTGCCTGCTCGCCTGCTCGCCTGCTTGCCTGCTCGCCTGCTCGCCTGCTTGCCTGCTCGCCTGCTTGCCTGCTTGCTTGCTTACCTGCTCGCCTGCTTGCCTGCTCGCCTGCTTGCCTGCTCGCCTGCTCGCCTGCTTGCCTGCTCGCCTGCTTGCCTGCTCGCCTGCTTGCCTGCTCGCCTGCTTGCCTGCTTGCTTGCTTACCTGCTCGCCTGCTTGCCTGCTCGCCTGCTTGCCTGCTTGCCTGCTCGCCTGCTCGCCTGCTCGCCTGCTTGCCTGCTCGCCTGCTTGCCTGCTCGCCTGCTCGCCTGCTTGCCTGCTTGCCTGCTCGCCTGCTTGCCTGCTCGCCTGCTTGCCTGCTCGCCTGCTCGCCTGCTCGCCTGCTTGCCTGCTCGCCTGCTCGCCTGCTTGCCTGCTCGCCTGCTCGCCTGCTTGCCTGCTCGCCTGCTTGCCTGCTCGCCTGCTTGCCTGCTCGCCTGCTTGCCTGCTCGCCTGCTTGCCTGCTCGCCTGCTTGCCTGCTTGCCTGCTCGCCTGCTCGCCTGCTCGCCTGCTTGCCTGCTCGCCTGCTCGCCTGCTCGCCTGCTCGCCTGCTCGCCTGCTCGCCTGCTTGCCTGCTCGCCTGCTTGCCTGCTCGCCTGCTTGCCTGCTTGCTTGCTTACCTGCTCGCCTGCTTGCCTCCTCGCCTGCTCGCCTGCTCGCCTGCTCGCCTGCTTGCCTGCTCGCCTGCTTGCCTGCTCGCCTGCTGGCCTGCTCGCCTGCTCGCCTGCTTGCCTGCTCGCCTGCTCGCCTGCTTGCCTGCTCGCCTGCTCGCCTGCTCGCCTGCTTGCCTGCTTGCCTGCTCGCCTGCTTGCCTGCTCGCCTGCTTGCCTGCTTGCTTGCTTACCTGCTCGCCTGCTTGCCTGCTCGCCTGCTCGCCTGCTTGCCTGCTCGCCTGCTTGCCTGCTCGCCTGCTCGCCTGCTTGCCTGCTCGCCTGCTTGCCTGCTCGCCTGCTTGCCTGCTTGCTTGCTTACCTGCTCGCCTGCTTGCCTGCTCGCCTGCTTGCCTGCTCGCCTGCTCGCCTGCTTGCCTGCTCGCCTGCTCGCCTGCTCGCCTGCTCGCCTGCTTGCTTGCTTACCTGCTCGCCTGCTCGCCTGCTCGCCTGCTCGCCTGCTTGCCTGCTCGCCTGCTTGCCTGCTTGCCTGCTCGCCTGCTCGCCTGCTCGCCTGCTCGCCTGCTCGCCTGCTCGCCTGCTGGCCTGCTCGCCTGCTCGCCTGCTTGCCTGCTTGCCCGCTCGCCTGCTCGCCTGCTTGCCTGCTCGCCTGCTTGCCTGCTTGCCTGCTCGCCTGCTTGCCTGCTCGCCTGCTTGCCTGCTTGCCTGCTCGCCTGCTCGCCTGCTTGCCTGCTCGCCTGCTCGCCTGCTCGCCTGCTCGCCTGCTCGCCTGCTTGCCTGCTCGCCTGCTTGCCTGCTCGCCTGCTCGCCTGCTTGCCTGCTCGCCTGCTTGCCTGCTCGCCTGCTTGCCTGCTCGCCTGCTTGCCTGCTTGCTTGCTTACCTGCTCGCCTGCTTGCCTGCTTGCCTGCTTGCCTGCTCGCCTGCTCGCCTGCTTGCCTGCTCGCCTGCTTGCCTGCTCGCCTGCTCGCCTGCTTGCCTGCTCGCCTGCTTGCCTGCTTGCCTGCTCGCCTGCTCGCCTGCTTGCCTGCTCGCCTGCTTGCCTGCTCGCCTGCTCGCCTGCTTGCTTGCTCGCCTGCTTGCCTGCTTGCCTGCTCGCCTGCTTGCCTGCTTGCCTGCTCGCCTGCTCGCCTGCTCGCCTGCTTGCCTGCTCGCCTGCTTGCCTGCTCGCCTGCTTGCCTGCTTGCTTGCTTACCTGCTCGCCTGCTCGCCTGCTTGCCTGCTTGCCTGCTCGCCTGCTCGCCTGCTCGCCTGCTTGCCTGCTCGCCTGCTTGCCTGCTCGCCTGCTCGCCTGCTTGCCTGCTCGCCTGCTTGCCTGCTCGCCTGCTTGCCTGCTTGCCTGCTTGCCTGCTCGCCTGCTTGCCTGCTCGCCTGCTTTCCTGCTTGCCTGCTCGCCTGCTCGCCTGCTTGCCTGCTCGCCTGCTCGCCTGCTTGCCTGCTCGCCTGCTCGCCTGCTTGCCTGCTCGCCTGCTTGCCTGCTCGCCTGCTCGCCTGCTCGCCTGCTCGCCTGCTTGCCTGCTCGCCTGCTCGCGTGCTCGCCTGCTCGCCTGCTTGCCTGCTCGCCTGCTTGCCTGCTTGCTTGCTTACCTGCTCGCCTGCTTGCCTGCTCGCCTGCTTGCCTGCTTGCCTGCTCGCCTGCTCGCCTGCTTGCCTGCTCGCCTGCTTGCCTGCTCGCCTGCTTGCCTGCTCGCCTGCTCGCCTGCTCGCCTGCTCGCCTGCTTGCCTGCTCGCCTGCTCGCCTGCTTGCCTGCTTACCTGCTCACCTGCTCGCCTGCTCGCCTGCTCGCCTGCTCGCCTGCTCGCCTGCTCGCCTGCTCGCCTGCTCGCCTGCTCGCCTGCTCGCCTGCTCGCCTGCTCGCCTGCTTGCCTGCTCGCCTGCTCGCCTGCTTGCCTGCTCGCCTGCTCGCCTGCCTGCTCGCCTGCTCGCCTGCTCGCCTGCTCGCCTGCTCGCCTGCTCGCCTGCTTGCCTGCTCGCCTGCTCGCCTGCTCGCCTGCTTGCCTGCTCGCCTGCTTGCCTGCTTGCTTGCTCGCCTGCTTGCCTGCTCGCCTGCTTGCCTGCTTGCCTGCTCGCCTGCTCGCCTGCTTGCCTGCTCGCCTGCTTGCCTGCTCGCCTGCTTGCCTGCTCGCCTGCTCGCCTGCTTGCCTGCTTGCCTGCTCGCCTGCTCGCCTGCTTGCCTGCTCGCCTGCTTGCCTGCTCGCCTGCTTGCCTGCTCGCCTGCTTGCC